TGGGCTGTGGACTCTATCCCACATCACTATAAGCCCAAAGCTGATGCTGCGCCTATTTAGAATGATGCAGGCCACTTGGCAGAAGGAAAGAGAATGTGGTGAATCATAAACTGTCTCTTGGAGCTCTGCATGTGTTTTTAGCTCCAATTGCACTGGCCAGTCAAGTCACCTAGCCACACTTACCTTAAGGGGACTGAACAAATGTCAACTCGATGTCTTTCTACTATGCTCAGAAGAAGAGAGAATTGAACAATCCTAATTATTGCCCAACATACCATCTCTAATTGTTTGGGAGAAGCAGTCTAGGCACCACATTGAGAGGTCTTGAGAATCTGTCCTCACTTAGCAGGCAAGACAGATTAGTCAGTGTTATCTGTAATGCCAGAGATGGCACAGTTGAATCATATGGGTGGGTAGTTTCTTTTCCTGAATGGTCACAGCACACAACTTTAGCGCTTTGAGGAAGCACCAAATCCATGGAAATTTCTACAAATACAGATGTTCAGGCTCCATCTCTAGAGTCTTTTTCCTAAAGTTCAGTATTATTTTCTCTATCTGTCTTTAATTTTATCTGTCAGAAATGCTCTGCTGGAACAAAAGGAGAATTTGGCAATAATTTTCTAGTCCCAGCAGTGAAAAATACTAAACCTGCAATAAATATAAATTCTGATAACTAGAGTTCTGTGTTTTCTGACAGAAAATGGAGATCCATGGCTTGGACTAATCATCCCTCTAGGCCACATATGGCATGTAAGATTTCATTTCATGTAATAACTGATTGATTGAATGTGTCTGCCTAGAGTATGTGTGGGATGGATACAATTCCTGCATTCGAGCTCATCATCAGAAGTGTGCAGTGATTGATTAATAATGTCTGCTGTTAATGCAGGAAGGGTAATAGTGGAACACATGCCAACTATTTGTCTTTTCTATTCCAGATTATCACTTCTCTCCCACCCATCTCTCCTTTTTTAGGAATTACAGTTTGATCTGACAATCTGATTACTAACTTATTTCCATGTGTTCCTTGCTGTTTGTATAGGTGTGATCTGAATGACAGACATCCATTTTTCATAAGTGTCTTCTTCAGAGTAAATTAAAAACAAAACAAAAAAAACCAAATCCAAACAACTTTGCCATAACAATTCATATAGACTCTTTAGGAGTTTATTAAATTGAGTTAATCTTAGAGATTTTGATCAACTGATAATGTAAATTCCTTGATTTGAAAATCTGAACCTGTGCATGATCTTCCCAGAAGACACTCTCTGTTTGAGAAGCTACACAATTTTCTTCTTTGACATCACTATATATCTTTCTTTCTGATATCAATAATTGTCAACAAGATGACATCAGAGATGAACCCATGTGAAATAATTTATTATGGACAGAATGGAAGAAGAAACACCTGGGAAGAAGTTCAAGGGGAAAATATAAGCCTTATATTTTGATATGAAGGATAATTTATCAGGATTGTGCTGAATATCTCTAAGGTCAGTAAAGAATGAAAGGCTGGATTATTCCAAAGAGCTGGTTGGGTCTTATTTTACCATCAGTGTGTGATTTAGGGGCTGAGAAAATACATGCCTTCTTGGCTTCAGAATAGACATTTAGTATTAGGCTTCTTTCTCTATTTTTAATGACAAGATGAGGTCCGGCTATCTCTTTAATGTGATCATTGATCATTGGAGATAAGTACTTGACAGGTACTGCAGTTAGAGACACCCTTATAAGCTAATGAGAGATGGGCTGCATGTCAGGAGAAATTAGGAGAACATTTCAATCTGCCTAGTTACATGACTAAAAGAAAAATATTTCATTTTTTCATATTCCTCATGACTGAAAAAAATTTTTATAATCTCATAAATCTTCAAACTCAGCATGTGATACCAGTAACTTGGACATAAATATGTTTCTAGGATGTGATGGTATTTATCTAATGGGACTGAGTCTCTGGCTAGCTGCCTGCCTATACTAGTTAGGAAGTCTTTTCCAAATCTTTAGATTTAACACATTATTTTCCCACATGCCTGCATAGTATAATTTAGCAATAAATGAACAATGCCACTGGCAACTTGAGTTCATATTTTATGTAACAGAAATCAGTAATTATTAAGATCTTCTAATATGATCTATCCAGATTTAGAATTATAGAATGTCACAGATCAGTTTATCACGTGCATTTCCAACAGGGGTTATATTTCTCCTAAGAGGATGAAAACTGATGCTTCAATAGGACAGTTGGTCTTTGGCTGTCCGGAGGGCCACCACATCTACAAAGATATACAGATATATAATATACCTGTGATTGGGAAAAAAATGTCAGAATGAAGCTTCATAAGGAGGCAATAATAAAGGAGTTGAGAAACACTGCTCTGTCTCAATCATTTTAGCAATATTAACAGTTTTAATAATAACTAGTATTTGTATGTTTACCAGGTGCCGCTTTAAATACTTAGATTACTTCAGTTCCCCTGATACCCCCGAGTAGGTGCTTTTTGTGTCTTTTACATACGGGTGAGGGCAGGCTGCTCAGAGAAGCAGAGAGGCAGGGAGAAGTTAAGGCATTTGATCAAATCCTCCAGCTAGTTAAGACGTAGAGCTACGATTTCACCTAGACTGACTGTCTTCAGTCTCTGAAGCACGTCACCGCTCTGTATACCAGCCGCCGTCATGCCGGTGAAGAGATGGAAGCTCAGAGGGGGCTGGCTGCTTTTCCATCAGCAGTCAGGCTTGTCCTGGGCTTCCGGCATGTGCTGTCCATCCTCCAGCACCTCGTCCGGGACTTCTGTCTCACACTTTTCTTTTGATAGAGCGTCCTTCTCATCTCGATGGTGGGACCATTTGTAAAAGTCAGTGAAGTCAAGTACATTGATGATGCTCTTTGGTTCTTCTGTATCCTTACTGAGCTTTTGTCGGTTCATGCTATCTGCGACTGAAAGATGTTGTGGATTTCTCTATTTCTGTTAGTTTTTGCTTCATGTATTTCAAAGCTCTGTTTTTAGGTGAATACACACTTATGTCTCTTGGTCAGCTGATCTTTTCATCATTAGATAATGTCCCATGTTATTTCTGGTCATTTTCCTTGTTCTTAAGTCAGCTTTGTCTGCTATTCACAGAGTCACTGCAGCATCTTGGGTAGCATTTTCCAGGGACATCTTCTCCACCCTTTTACTATAACCTGCCTATATCGTATTTCAAGTGGTGCCTTATGGAGAACATACCCTTGGATCTGATGTTTAAAATTTATTCTGACAATATCTGTCTTTTAAGTAGTGTGATTAGACTGCTTACATTTCATGTGTGTGCCATGATATGTTTGGATGGAGGCATACTGTTTATTTTCTGTTTTTCATTTCTTGGTTTCCCCTTTTCTGGTTCATTGTGGATGATTGGACTTTTTCAGTTTTCTGTTTTAATTTTTCTGTTGAGATTTTTACTGTATCACTGCTTTATATAGTTTTTTTTTTGATTGTCTCTCTTAGGGTTACTATATGTATATATATATATATGTTTAACTTTTCACTTTCTACTCAGAATTAATATTTTCAACCTCAAGTGGAGTACAGACCTACCCAGCTATAATATATAGGTACTTTTGCCTTTTCCCTCTTTATATTGTAGTTACCATATGTATGATTACATGATACATATTACTGTACATACATATAACTGCATCAATACATTGAAAACTCAGTGTAATAATTTGTACCTTAACCATCATACGTATTTTAGCCAACTAAAGAGGAGAAGAATACTTTATTTTACCCAAGTAGTTGCCTTTTCTTGTGTTCTTCTTGCATTCTAATATTCCAGGTTTCTTACTGTTATCATTTCCCTTCTGTCTAAAGAACTGTGAGCATTTCTTGCAGAGACGGTCTGGTGGCAGTGAATCCTCTTCATGTCCCTTCATCTCAGAATGTCTTTATTCCACCTTCAGTGGTGAAGGATATTTTTTTACCAGATAGAGAATTCTGGGTTGACAGTTCTTGCAGTTCTGGTGTCCGTGGTTTCTGATGAGGAATCCGTAGTCATTGGAATTGCTCCCCTATATGCACAATTTTTTTCCCGCTGACTGCTTTCAGGAGTTTTTTCTTAGCCTTTAGTTTTCAAATTGTGTTATGATTTCTCTGGGTGTGATTTAAAAAAAATGTGTCATGTATAGTGCTTGCTGCTCTGGACACCTGGAAAAGAATTCTACGGGAAAGAGATCTAAGATTTATTGAGTTAGACCTGGATGCAAAGTCCTTATTGTGCATATTATCACATTTTCTCTTCATCACAGTCCTTCCTTGTGTGCATTATTTCCTCATTTTAGAGAAGAGGAAAATTTGACTAAGCAAAGTCACATAGTTAAATGGTGCATGCCACATCAGGTTTATTTGCCTAATTCCAAAACCTGAGTTCTTTTCCTTATGCTATGCTGAGGATACACTAATTCTGTATTTCTAAAATGTGAGTATTACTGGAAATACCTGTTATATTCTTCAACCTATTAATATTTGAAAATGCAACCCGCATTTTGGTTTTATGTTACCTGCAGAAGACTTCCTCTCATGCTCTGAGGAACCCAAAGACCAACTATTCTCTCTGTTTTAAGACCTTCCTGAGGTGTTGTGATTTCACTGGTAACCACCTGGCCTGAGAAGTTCAGACTTGCAGTATATCAACAAGGGAGTGGGCTGCGTTTAACTTAGAATGTTTAGCTTGGACAGAATATTAGGCTCATAAATACTAATTTGTGAGAAGTCGCTGGGGTCTGCATGGGTAAGTGGATTGACCTCCTGCAAGTATGAAGCTGAGGAGCTGACTGGGCTGCCCTGGTGTCAGGAAATCCCAGAAGCAATGGATTTGACACAGCAGGAGGAGGGGATCGACTGTCCTCACTGCCTGACGAGGTTGTCCTGGTGGCAGTTACATGTATTCTTTGGCAAACGGCCATTTCCGCAGCCGTGGTTCAGTAGTGGCTCTGCTTTTCTTTGGCAGCCTCTCCAGGTTTAGTGATGTGGAGACGCTGCATGAAGATTGAGCAAAAGCTGGCGCATGAGGTTAGCAGGTCCGGCTGTGATTGTTAGCTTTCAAACAATAAATCAGGTAAGACTGAACTCAAAGAGAGGTACCCTGGGTCTGCACACTACCCAAAGTATGTAGGATTGTTCATCTGCATTTTCTAGGGAGAGGGACAATCAATGGACTTAGGAGGGAGACAACAATGGACAAACAATGGAGGGAGAATCAGTGGACATAGATACAAAAATACAAGCTGGGCTGACATGGGCCATTCTGGGAAATTCTGAATCTTGGTGGAGAAAGGGAGGTGAATCAATCATGGGGCTTCTAGAAGCCCTACATTATTAATAATTAATATAATAAACCCTGAACATCTCATAAGTCTGATTTGTTGGGATTATCCCTTTGGATACTAGGAAGGGCTTGAGTTTATTTTATCAGGTTTTTAACCCATAGTCACTTTTAAGTAAGACACTTTCTTTCCATTTTTATTTGGAGGCTTGGAGATCTTTCTTTACTAGGTTTCTGATTTGCCATATTAATGAAGTGTTTCAAGGCCCTGGTTCTGAGAAAACTTGCCCCTTCCCCCTCCCTCCCCCTGCCCCATGTGCACAGTGACCTCTGAATGCTTGAGAATAAATTTCAAAATGTAACTCCATTAACCCAAATGTGACAGCTAGAAACGAGTCCAAATATTGTGAAAATGATGCCATCGTGATCTGTAATCACTTTCTTTCATTCTAGCTGCAGACAAGCGTATGTTATTTTCCCCCTTGAACTTAACCATGATTTTAACATGATATGTTATCATTTTAATGTCTGTGGTCTCACTCAAGAATTGAGTGCTGAAAAACCAAGACATATGAAAAATGGTCCATGTAGAGCCTATATTAGGAACATGTTCAGAAAGAGATTAAAGTAATTGCATCCAGGGGGATGCAGGTTATGAGAGACCGGGCCTGCATTCCTGTTTAGAGCCACAGTCTCAGAATGCATTTCTTTACTTGATATGAAATTATAGAAGCAAGGAGTTTGCCTGACTAATGAATGTAGTGATGACTGAAAGGGAAAGCATCATGGAACTAAAGAGGACTTTGGTTCAGTGAGGGCGAAGGTGGTGACTGCAGGGCGTGTACATAGCCACACGTTTTGATTCATCGTTTTCACTGATGGGGACATTTCACTGTGGTCCATGGACTGACTGACGGAGGTAGTTTATGTTAGAGGGGGCTTTGTTTTTTGTTTTGTTTTGTAGCAATGTGGGATAAAGCAGAGATCCCCTAGGAATAGGGGAAGGAATTGCTAGGAGAAATATTTTTGAGACTATTAAGGAAATATATGTTTTGAATATCCAGGTTCTAGAAATCTGGAGTTAAGAGGGAACAAAATCATTGACCAAAGAAAAAAAGTATCTTTCTCATTATTGTAATTTTTTTTTAAAAAAGCACCTCTACTTTTCCTTATTATAGAAATTCCTGCTCAAGTGGAATATCTGGAAAACATAGAAAAGATAAAAGAAAATAAAAACCACTCACCATGCACAACATCAAGATAAAATAAACACTGTTAGCATTTTTTTGTTTACAATAATTTCAGGTCAGGTAAAGATGTTGATTTCTATATAATGGCTGCTACTGTGAATATACAGTTATGTATCTTGCCTTGTACATATGGTGAAATCTTTCCACATATCATTGAAACTTGCTGAAATTTTATTTTTAAAAAATAGTTGAACATCAGCTTACGGAGAATGGCTCCCACATGTCAGAAAGACCAGCTTCCCTGTACAAACAGGGCTTGAAGGAAGTGTGCACCCACCTGCTAAGTGCAGAAGGCCCTTGCTGGCATCACATTCTGATAAATGGTTGGGTGGTTTTGAAGAGAGGAGTCTTGTGGGTTTAACCCAGTGTTGAATTCTAATCTTATTTCTGCCGTAAACTGAATGCTGTGTTTCCCCTCTCTGAACCCCAGCTCTTCATCTTCCATTTGAATATTGCGGGGTACTTTCAACTCTAGAATATTATGTCTCTAGACGTAGTATCTTAGTGACCCTGGAACATACATCCATTTTTATTAGTAGTAATATTATGTTTTCATTCTTTCAATGCCTTTTCATTATGTTGTCGCTATATTCCAGACACCGACATGTTTTCCCACGTAATGTTTACAATCACCATGAGAAACAGGTACTGCTACTATCTTCATGTTGTAGGCAAGGTGAGTGAAGCTCAGAGGGGTGAAGGAATGAGGGTGGGTGTGCGGCCAGCACTTCCACTCTGCCTATGAGAAGGACCCTGAAAACAGACTGCTTCCTACCTACTGAGCGGTCATTACCCAGAGCTGGACCCTCCTGCCGGCAGTCTACCGGCCTGGTGTGCTGGCCACTCAGTTACTCACTCGTTGGCTCACTGGTCATGGTAGACAGAATAAGATGTCCATGTCTTAATCCTCAGAACTCATGAATACATTATGTGGCAAAGGGAAATTAAAGTTGCAGGTGGAATTAAGGTTGCAATCAGCAACCCTTAAAATAGGCATGTGGATGAAATGAAGGTTTCTGTGGCCGGGATTCTCACCTGGCCCTGGTCGGCTAGCTCACCACACACAGGTGGGCAATGCATTGTTATTGCCTCTATATAAAGAGCCCCGCCCAGTGCTCTGGGTGGCACAGTGGCAGGGCTGCAAGGCTGCAGGAGAGCAGAGACTGGAGTGGTGGCAGCACTGAGGACAGAGGCAGAGGACGGCTGTGTGGGCAGAGAGGCCCAGAGGACGGCTGTGCGGGCCAAGAGGCCCAGAGCAGAGACCGGCTTGCTGCATGCAGATTGGCTCTGAGTGGATGGGATTTTAGTGATTGACCGGCCACCGTGGAAATGCAGTTGGGTATAAACCTTTTCACCCCAAGAACATTTTACTGTCATTTTTTTGGTCTCATTGAATCCATAGTGAACTTGCCCAGGGCTGAAACCCATTGGCAAGACAAGGCGTGTATCGGGGTCCGGTATAACCACAAGGGTCTTTAAAAGTGGAAGCAGGTGAGGAAGAGTTGGTTCAGAGAGACATCCTGTGAGAGCGACTCGACCAGCTGCTCTGGCCTTGCAGGGGCAAGAGCCAGGAGGTGCAGGTGGCCTTCAGAAGCTGAAAAAGGCGAGACAACAGAGTCCCAAGGAAGAAGTACAGTCCCCCACCCCCCACATCTTGATCTTAGCCAGGCGAATCTATCGTCGAACATCCGACCTCCAGAAAGGTAAGATAATGAATCTGTGTTGTTTTACGCCACTAAGTTTATGGTGATTTCTTGTGGCAGCACAGGAAACTAATACATAGGGTGTATGCCGGCAGAATTATCAGAACCCGGAGTGTTGGGGCGCGCTGCCCAGAGGCTCTGTGCCGCTGTGGGTGGGGCCGCAGGGGATTCTAACAGGTGGGACTGTTTGGAGCAGGTCGGCAGCAGCCCCAAGGTTCTGTGTAGTTGCCTGATTTAGAACCAGATCTAGCCAGGCTTCGGGGCTCTGGTTGGGACCAGCCCCTAGAAAATGATTGTGCAGGGTCTCCAAAGAAGAATCAGGCAGATTCAAAGGGGAGTAGAATAATGGGGTCCAGAGCTGTGAAATCTAGAACAGTGTTGTCCGGTAGAAACATAACAGTCTATGCAAGTCAGTTTTCAGTCTTCAGAGCTTACGTCTTGCACTTTTTCTCTGTCTTCCAAAGTTCAAACTTCTAAAAAAGAAAAGAGTCGTTTAAGTGTTGCTCAAGAAACATTTATTAATTGTTAGTGTGGTTGTTCACCTCAAGTTTTATTTGAGCATTTATTTAACCATATCTTTTTCAAAGACATGTTAGAATGGGTCACAGATAAGACCCAAAATATAACGCATTCATGGGAATTGTTAAACCTTCTGGTGTTTTGTTAGTTATATATAAAATTTTAGAAGGACTTTTTCAAATGGGAATTGTATTGGTGTGTTGGCTGGGGGAAAATAAGACAATTGAAATACACATTGTTTGTTTCAAGATGATGGAAACAGAAAACAATTCTCAACAATAAAAAATCACCCAAAGGCAAGAATCCAAAAGAACAATAGTGGCTAATAAGCTAACATAATAAACCAAGTCTAAATCCCTTTTCTTACATTTAAACAAAAAGGCAATAATTCTATTTCATAAGATTATCCCTGGGAGTTACACATGGAGATTTTTTTTCTAGACAGTATCTGGATTTTCCTCTTCTGTCATCTATTTTTGAAGCAATGTAATATCTGGTTACATCTACTTGATCTGCACAATCTGTATTTCATACTCAGAATAGAACATGTGGCAGCGTATAAGAACACAGTGCCACTGTCATTAAGGAGTCTTTTATTTATTGACTGTGCTTATAACTTCCTACTCTCCCCAAAAGAACAAAATCCAATAAAATTAAAATAAGGAGTTGGGGTAAGGAAAGGAGAGGAAATTGAGAAAGGAATCTATGTAACTCCATGGATTAAAATATTTGCTATGACTGATCTTCCATCTTGGCTCTGAGCTTCCTAGCAGCAAAAGCAAAATGAAAAAGTAGAATTTATGATATATAAGGTTCCCAGTAGCAGAAAGTTAGAATAAACACAATTTTATTAGGGATTTACTCCACAACTCCATAGTTTTTCTTTTATTTTTAGGTCATAAAAGTCCTTTCTTATTGCAACCAAATCTAACAATAAAGAACCCATCATTACATTCTAAAGTAATAGTTTTCAAATTCTAGCACACATTGGAAATTCCTGGAGGGCCTATTAAAGAGATATCTGAGTCCCACTGCAGAGTTTCTGAATCACTGTGACCTGGAAATTTTTATTTCTAACAGATTTCCAGGTGATACTGACACTGTTGGACTGGGGACCACACTTTGAGAGCCACCACTATAGAAATAATAGATACACTTTAGGGGAAACGTTAAGTAAGTGATGGGAAAATGTCTTTAAAAGAGGTTTCACTGCCATTTTGATATGGACATTTCCTAGGAAAGATCTTCAACAAAAGTTAAGGGCACAGTTCTGAAGGGCAATTCTACAAATGCTTATATAACAGGGTCCAACAATGCCCAACACATTTCTGATGTGCCATCTCATTTCAAGGGCAGGGCTTAAAATCCCTGAGGATTTCTAAATGTAGGCTACTTTCTTTAAATCTTGTTCTTTTTAAGCTGGGCTTCTGATTGAAGCTCCACTTTCTGACACCTCATGTTTGTCTTAATTCAAAAGATGTGTGCATGGTTTTCAAGTCAGGGTTGCTGTCTCAACACACTTGAGCACAAGAGTTCGTTTCCTCTACCTCCAGAAATCCCCTTAAAATGATTATACAAGGAATGAAACCTATTTGCCTAAGAATGGCAGAGGGCGCTCTCAGTGGGTCATGAATATCTGGATGTGGGAATGAAGGTGGAATCACAGTGACCCCATTTAAAACATTTTTTTCTGTTTTGAAATAATTAGATTCATGGGAAGTTGCAAATAAAAAAATGTTCAGGGAGATTCCATACAGGATCAGAGAAGGGAGTTACCCTTCACCCAGTGTCCTCCAGTGGTAACATCTTGCATAACTAGCACAACATCAAAGCCAGGAAATTGACATTGGTCTAATCCACAGAGTTTATTCAGACTTCACCAGTTTTACATGTATTCTGAGTTTGTATGTAGATGTCTAGCTTTATCATATGTGTATCTTCAGGTAACCACTACCACAATCAAGACACAGGTGTATACATTATCACACAGATCTTCCTTGTGCTACCTTTTGTAATCACACCCATGTCATGCTACCCCCTCCATCCCTGGCATCTGCTTGTCTGTTCTCTATGTCTGTAATTTTGTCATGGAATCATACAGTGTGTATACTTCTGATACCCCTTCCACTTCTGGGGATTTTCTGCTTAACATAATTCCCTGAGATCCCTGAGTGGTTTCAGTCATCAGTAGTTTATTCCTTTTTTGTGCTGTGTAATATTCCATGACACAGATGTACCACAAGTTTGTCATTCACCTATCAAAGGAGAGTTGGAGGAAGGGGTTCAGAGCACACCTATGAGAGGACAGTAATAGTCGGGTTAAATTTAGGACTTGTTCTTTCCTGGAGCATCAGCGACATCCCTGGCTTGGGCTCACCAGGTTACAGAGGAAGAAGGGGTTGGAGGAGAAGCAGGAATGAGGGTGGGCACTGAAAGACCTTTATAGAGATTTGGTTTGGGTGTTAGTTCCCCTGAGTAAAGCGTGTTATGATCTCCCAGTGGCTGGGAGTTCCCCAAAGAGAAAGCAGAGACCAAGGAAAGAGGAAACAATCAAAGAAGTAATAGAAAACAATTTTCCAGTGCTGAGTAAAGGCACCAGGTAAAAAGCAGGGTGAAAGAGTAAAGACCTATAATTAGATACAATCCAGTTACATTTTAAAGCACTAAGGAGAAAGAGACTATTAAAATATTAGGAGAAATTGGGTGAGGTATATGGAAGGTCAGTTTTTGCAATTTTTCTTTAAGTCTGAATTAGTTTAAAATGAGTAATTCCAAAAAATTTCCAGTTGGTTTCCAATTTTCTCTTTATTACAGTTAACTCAATGGAGTACAGCTTTGGTAGGTTAGGTCTTGATAGCAGACAGTCTGGTTATGGGTGTTTTAACCTTTATTAATCTAATGCCATTTTATTACTCATGCCTCTGCTGACTGAGGAATTAGTGCCCAAACCCTGCTCCTTCCTTCACTGTCCCCTTAGTTGTCATGGAAAGAAATCTTAGTGATTATCTAGGTGGAGATGTTTATTTTATAAAAAAGCCAAGTTCCACAAAGTACAAGTTAGTAATCCAAGGTCACAGAGTCAGGAAGTCTGATTCTCAAATGATGGGCATTTCACACAGTACCTGAGTCACAGCAAGCCCATGGGGTGCTTGTGTTTTGTCTGAATCACACCTCTGTTAATCATGTGATAGTGCTTAAATCCATGAAGTCTTTCCTGATTTTTTTCTGTGCTCTCTCAATAGATATTTCTTTGTACTCTGAATGCCCTTGTAGTTTTCCTGAGCATTAGAGTTATTAATGTGCATTGCAATCTAGTGAAGGATAACTTCTCATGTTGCATAGCACAACTGCACAGAGTAAATACTACAGTGCCTTATACTTAATTGGATTTGAATTAATGTTAATTTTTTTTTCCAACAGGTATTTAATGAGTACCTACTGTGTATCAGGTACTAATCAAGGGGGTATACAGTGAGCAACATAAAGTGTTTGCCTTCATGGAGAGACAGACAATGAACTAAAAAAAGATACTATCGGACAGGTAGAAATGCACAGAGAAAATCAAATTTGAGCAGAAGGTGATTAGCTCGCTATTTTAGATAGGGCAGGCGAGAAAGACACTGCATATCCGGCAAGAAAATCTGTGGTCATCTTATCACCTGTGGGCCCCCTTTGCCATGAAGATTCAGAAATGTGTAATCATTTCTCATTACTTTACCCCTTTTAGCACTCCCTTTGGGACAGGTAATCGGACTTGGGAGAATTCCAAGACCTCTGTCAGGGCTGGAGACCCAGGACAGGAGACACTGCAGAGCGGCAGCGAGTCTTGCTGGAGACGTTAGGGGCTCCTGGGAGGACTCAGATTCTCAGATAGAAAATTACTATTCTCAGGAAAGCGTCTCCATAAACTTGTTCCTTCACTACCACTGTGGCACAGTGTGTGGGTTTGTGTATTTAGACGTTAACTGTGTGTCGAAGGTGGGACCTGAATGTTGGCCCACTGATTCCTATCATTTCTGGCTCAGTTTTCACCCCACAACCTTGGCTGAAAAGGTCAAGGAAAGAGAACTGGTGGAAAGGAAGGAGGTAAAAGGCAGCTAGGCAGGTGCTTGGGCTTTGCAGCTTGGTTTTCATTATTTTAAAAAACGAGATGCAGGTATTTGTATCTTTCCATTCCCTTCCCTCTCCTTAACCTGTTGATGTCTTTCCTCCCCATTGCACATTGTTACTCGGGAGATTCTCTAAGAGGTCAGCCAGCATCCCAGTTGAGTTTCCAGATGTCACCAGCCCCAACTGCCATCTGCAATGGCATGAAAGACCAGCCGAACTATCGCCCTAGCCAAGCCAAGCCAAGCCAACCCACAGAATCCTGAGAAAGACTACAGGAGCCGTTTTAAGCCACTCAGTTTTGGAGTGACTTGTTACGTAGCCATAGCTTATCAGGATAGGCTATAAATATCGTTTTCCCACTCCATGAGCTG